TTTTCCATCCCCATGCCCACGGATTTGCGCGGGAACACCGTCGCGGCAAGGACGACATCAATGAACAACGGAAAAAAAAACAGTGACGTCACTGCCGATCACATGCGACAATTGGGCCGCTTCACTGCCGATCACCCACGACCTGGAGAAGCACACTACCGTCGACTACAACAACAAACACCTACAAACGAGCTGTCCGCCACTGCAAACCCTGCGAGCTAACTGCGCGCATTCGTGAATGACGCAAGCGCTGCGACTCGACGACGGACGCACACGGCTTCTGTCTGCGTACGCGAGGCAGAGTGGCGCGACACGCACGATCAGATGTGTTTCATTCGCTCTGCTAGGGCATTGCGGAGCACGTGTGCGGCGTCCGTCGATGTCAGCATCGTCACTGGCTGCAGTGGACGATGAATCCCCAGGTCCACTCGCCACCTCACCCCGTTCTCGTCGACCTCCCACAACAAGTTCTCGTCGAACTCGATTCCAGCATCGAGCAGGATGTTGTGGAGAATGCAGACAACCGTGAACTGCTGCAGTAGAGTGTCCAAGTTCGTCTTGTGCGACTGCAGGAAGAGCCTCCACATCCCCTTCAACCTCCCGAACGCCCTCTCCACAGCACCTCTAGCGACCTTCTGTTTGTTGTCGAACCTTTCCTCGTCCGGGTGCTGATTGATTCCTCCGTACGGCACCACTATCCATTCTGAAGGAGGATACCCGTTGTCGCCCAAGATGCATCCGTTCGTCCTCACCCCTCCCGACAGCATTACAGGCGGCCCGCGAAAAAGCGTTCCCTCTTCCGCGCGCTTCGACAGACTTGACAGCTGGATCACCCGAATGTCGTGGCAGTTGCCTGGGTAGCCAACGAAGACGTCAAGCACACGCAGATCCAGGTCCACCACCACCTGCACAATGACGGAGAAACAGTGCTTGCGGTCGAAGTAGTTCTCGCTCGGAGCGTTCGCCGGTTTGTCCACGTAGATGTGTGTGCAGTCAACTGCGCCATGGCAGTTGGGAAAGCCCTTGTCCTGAAACGCCCGTAGCACCACGTGTTTACGCACCCTCGTCGACCACGATATCTTGTCCCCGTAGACCCTCAACAACGCGGCTGTCACATCGCGCACGCTCGAACTCCGGATGCTCTGCCAATGCCGAACGATGATGTGCTGTTGTCGTACGACTCTCCTGTTGCCCACCTATACAGCGCGTACGCGACGATCTGATCCGGCTGAAGCGGCTCCCTGTAAAACGTGACCTGTCGTTGCAAATGAGGCGCACAGGCTTCGGTGATCTCCATGAACACTCTCCTCGACATGCGGAGCTTTTCCCAGAAGTAGTCATCCGTCGCGTCATTGCACACCCGCAAATCCTCCCAAGTCCCGCCAGTTCTCCGCCTCATCCACCAACGTGGCGTCGCCCTGGGAAGCACACTGGAGCCGATTGCAGCGCACAGCTGAACCTCGGCCTCCGAAGTCGTGATGCAGTCCGGGGCGTCCAACACCCTCTGCAGCAGAAGCCTGTGTCGCCGCCTGGAAAGCGCTGCCTTCATGCGGCCCGCCGCCCTCTCCGCTTCGTATCGACGGACTACGGCAACGGCAGCCGCCGCGACACCTGTCCTCTCCGTCCGCGACAGCACAGCACCCCATTGCATCCCTCCATTCGCGCACGTCCACGACGAAGAGCAACGTCCACCGCCACCCACCTGCGCGAATGAATGTCCACGGCGACGATCGAAGACGCCTACAACGAGGTGTGGAAGACAGGCGTGATGACAAAACTTACACCGCGATGGGAGCGTTCGTCCTCCGTCCCTGAACCACGGAAGCGCCGCTAGCATGCACGTGGCGAGCGCAGGAGAAGACACGCCGCTTCGTTTTGCCTGCGACGAACACAGTACACACGGTGGCGGCGCGGTGCCGCTGAAGTACGAAACGCGACGCCAAGCCTGCGCGCTCGTCCCCCAGTCGACGTGCTCTTCCGCCTGTGCGCCGCCACACCGTCTTTCCGCGCAGAGAAAATTCGAATTTCGAATTTCGAACGGGGCCGTTCCCGCATTCGCAATTTTATTTTCCACGGCCTGTGACGTCTTGCCGCCGTCCGGCTGCTGGACCAGCGCACCTCGCACAAGGACATCCCGAATCGGAGGTCGGACAACACCCTCGCGGCCGTCTATAATCTCATGAGACTGGCCGCGGGACGGCCCCGAGGATGCATCCTCGGGGCTACTCTCCGAGGACAGGTGGAACGACGCCTCCAAAAACTAAAAAAAACTCCGAGGATTCTTCCTCGGAGCTCGAGGACGCTCCGAGGAGTGTCGAACGATGCCCTAAGAAGATCAGAGAAACCATTGAACAAGTATTCATCCAATGTCCGGGCACGGTATTGATATGGAGAAGGTGGGACTGTGTATGGAGAGGTCTGACGGGGATTGACTGGCCATGGGACTGGAGAGCCGTTTTCCTGGGTTATTGGGAACCAATGAATATACAACTTTCAGAATTTCAGAGAAATTTGTTTGAAATTGGTCGGAAGGCTATTTTATGGGTATTATGGTACAAAAGGTGTGTATATGAAAGAGAAGATGTGAAATTGGAAGGAACAGAATTTGCTCAGTTGATAGTCCAATTCTTACAGACGGAAATACGGGCACACTGGTTAATAGTCCGTGCTAAGATACAGCAGTTTCAGCAGAAAAAAGATATTATTAGTAGTATTCAACAATTCAATCTTAACTGGCTGGGAGGAACTGAAGGAGGCAGATTGGGGGAAGTGAAATGGCCGGGAAAGGAGGTGCAGGAGGAATCTCTAAAACAAGACTACCACCTGATTTTCAAAGACTGGTTTTCACTTCCTCCAGGAATTACTCTCAGATCCCCTGATTGCTTTGTTGATCCCTTCCCCCCCTCTGAGTTGGAGCTGGTTGATATTCAATAGGTAAAATTTTGTGCTGAGTCAAGGGTAGTTCACCTTAAACCACCAGTACCTCGCTCAGCTATCGGCCGCGGGCACTCCCGTATACGCACCGCAGCCCTAGGGGGGTCGGCCAAGGGAAGGCCCGGTCGCTGCACGAAGGCCGGGCTCCGCTTCCCTAGGAACGACACACTTGAGAAAACAAAAAAAAAGAAAGAAGGGAAAACAAAAAACAAATACACAAACGAAAAAAGAAAACGAACGGACAAAAAGTTGAAGTCGCGCGCGCGCGCGCACACACGAGAGAGAGAGAGAGAGAGAGGGGCGGCGAGTTCGCCGCG